TTGAAACGATGTGCACGTTTGCTGTATCCGTATCAGTTTGAGTTGATAAAAACGTTCGTTTTTCCACACAAAAAATTTGCTAGCTGGTTAAATCTCGTTTCGAAAAATGTTGCTTTAGCAAAGGATATCATTTCTGATATGTTAATAAGATTTTCGAAAAGAGAAACAATTTCTCAATTCGAAATTGTATCACGTCAAAATCGCAATATTGTTTTAATGCTAAAGAGCGCATCATAGTACGTTTCACTGAATTTTTCAGAACGTCCATTTCGGAGATTGAGATCTTTATTAATAAACGGTTGAAATGTGAATTTCAGTGTCATGTGCAGGTGCCAACATCAATATCAATATCAATATCAATATCAAGCTGCCACTTGCTGTAACGGTAAAAGTTATACAGATCCACAACGTGCACTTGATCCATTTTTCACAAAAATTGCATTTAACACGAGTGCGCACCGTTAAATCCTTGACGCGTTGGTATAAAACCGTGATAAAATAAATACGATCGCTTTTTCACGAGTCTCCTTCATCAAAAGAAAATTAAATTGCTTTTCATTACTTGTAAATGGAAACGTATATGATTTAATAAAACTTAGAAGTTTCAAAGTTTTTCTCCACCGTGCTCCTCAAGATTGATTTGAGATATTCCTCACGTCTCGCCGTATAGCGAAGAACTTTTTACTCATATCAGCAATTACCAAACATCCCCCGCACCTCCCACCCTCCGACAAAGCGCGGCACCGGTTGCGCTCGCACATACATAGCACGCAGTAAATATACATATATATATATATATACACACACATAAATATATATATATATATATGTATAGTTATGCACTCGATCTATGTCACTGGTATTGTATAGCATGACTAATTATACTTCAGCCGGCGGCGGATCTCGTTGCGCGGCTTCACGAGTGGCGGAAAGCACCCTATTAAATCTCGAGCCTCGACCACCCTCTCGGGCGTAAGGAAGAAAACCGCGAGACGTCAATACGAGTGCGCCAAGCGTGAGAAAGGGTAGGCATTTGTGCACTCTAATCCTCGATCTTCCTACTTTGTTTCACGTCCGTTTCTTCATGTCTCCTTCTCTTTTCCTCCCTTCATTCCCTTCTCTCTTATTCTCTCTCTCTCTCTCTCTCTCTCTCTCTCTCTCTCTCTCTCTTTTGTTTCCTCCCTAAAGGTTGGTCTAGTCTACTTGGCAACCTCCAAGAACTGCGTCGAGATGCGCGCGCGCATCATATACTTGCAGTATTTTATAGTCTTTGTAGAATGATAGGGTCTGATAAAAACATTCACAGAAAAAGAATTCTATTTTCGAAAGCGAATCGAAGTGAAAAATAGCAATGAATTTACAATATTATCTTTAGATATTTTCTGAAAATAATTATAAGTGCAAATTAGATCGACAAGAATAAATCAAATAAAAGAAAGAAATTTATTTTTGATCGAAGCGGATGCTTACATTTTTCAATTCTATAAATTGCGCGCCCATTCAGTTGAATTTAAAACGTAATAAACTGAAACTGGAAATACCATCACAAATTACATTGATTGTCAATTAATAATAATGCTAATAAGCATCTTAAAATATTGCAAAAACTTATTGCGAAGAACATCACCTCAGCCAGAGGTTGAATCTGAAATTCTCGATTTTATGGAACGACCATCTTACCAATGCCTTAAGATCCTTATTAGCATCATAATTAAGTTAAAGATCAAAGTAATTTGTGATATTATTTTAGGCTTCAATTTATGATTGCGTTTCAAGTTCAGTAAATTAAATCAGCACGCAATTTATAGAACTGAAAATGTATTTGCAATAAATCTGTAGATTTGCTACAACATAAATATTATTAAGCACTAAAATTTGCTTTGACTAAAATAGGATTTCTCTTACTCGATTTATTCTTGTCGATCTGACTTCCATTTATAATATATAATTCGTTCAGTTTTGGATCATCCTGCATAAAGAATGGAACTTTGAAGTTCGAATTAATTATCGCGATTTTATTTGTATTGTACGTAATTGCTTCAATAATTAACAAAGGTTAAAGATGAAATTTCGTTTAGCTTATAAAACTAAGGAGGCGATAGGAAAGGCATGGGACTTACGCAAAATTAGAACGCCATCGGAGAGTTACGTTTTGAATCTTTAAGTATTTATTTAAACAAATCCCAACATTCCAAACATTGATAGTTGTATATACGTATGGGTGTGTCTTTTGTGTCTGTGCGCTTTCTATAGACACAAGATAGATTGTGACAGCGTATCAATTTGCCTTTGACTATCTATGTTATGTCCATAGTGTCTTCCTTTTCGTTATTTCTGTATGTGTATTCACTGTCATGCAAGTATCGCCATTTATTTCATCTACAGATTCTCCGATTAAATCGCAGTCAATTTTTTCTCGCAAAAAAAAAATCTTAATTATAAACATCTTCGAAATTTTTTACAATTTTCTAAATGTATTGAGGAATGAAGTTTTCTGCATTAATTAACAATTTTACAAATTAGCATCTTGATTCGAAAAAAATCATTCATTTTTTATTGTTTCCTACACAAGAATGATTAACTCTTTATAACTGACGTGTTCTGCTTATAAAAGAAAATTGCACAAGCAATAAATAGAAAATATTGATTATGGGATATAATTAATTATTAAATCTTAATTTATAAAGACTTCACTATAAAAGAACTATTTGTAATGATGAAATAACAATGGATAATAATATACAAAAACTTGTATATCTGTAATGTATCTTTATTGAGTATGGAAGCCTACAATGATGCAGAGCGATAAACTAATGAGACAACACTTTTTAAAAACATAAATATATAGACAACTTTCAAATTACCTGATATTATAAAGAGTTAAATCTCAATATATTTCAGCCGAAAAAAAGAAGTCGCTTGACTGAAGAATTTGCAGACGAAAGGAATGGTGTCAGTAAGGAATTCTCACGGGGCTCAATTTTAGCCGCACAAATAACATTGAGCTTTAGTTACGATGCAAATGAAGCTAACTTGACGATCCAAATTCGTATTCAAAACCAACGAACAATTGTTTATTACCCCAACGTTTCGTGAATCGATCGAACAGCTCTCCGATTTTACATAGAGCGATACTCTCTTCACTCCCATCTTTGATGACATACCTTAATATCATCAACATCCTGCCAGTAGATGATAACACACGCGAGTGCAATCGAATCAATTATAGCAAGTTTTTCCGTGACTAGGTTAATTAGGAGTTTAGATGGCCCCTCGCGTGGTTTCTCTATAATTACTCGAAAAGTCTTACGGTCATAGGGGTGCTTACGACGACAACGCTTGTCCGTCTCTGATACTTTTGCGACGGACTTGTTTCCTGGAACTATCAATTCAAGATTCAATTCTTGCCACTTTTTAAATTACATTTCGCCGAAGAGCGTTATGGGTTCCGTTGACGAAACGAATCAAGATCAAAAACTTGCCTAGCCTCTAAAGAATTCTTATATATTTTATTTTACATACAAAATGTTCGACTTATACTTCAATAACAATTTCTGTGGGAAATTTTGCAACAATATCTAATGCCATTTTTAAAGTATATTTCATAGACTTGAGACCTGATAAATTTTGATCCTAAACGCCCTTTCAAGCTAAAGACAAGCTAAATATACATTTTGATATATATTCTCTTACACCATTTTATAATAAACAATTTTAATGATTGTAATAAATAACTCTTATCAATAATACTGAACATATTCGATCAGACTCAAAATACTAATCGTGTATTAGTGGCCGATCGATACGTCTAAGCACCCCGAAGAAAAACATAAAAATTAAGATGGACCCAAATACTTTTCGCCTTCCAACTACCATATTTCCAATATTGCACGAAAACTTACAATATACAGGTGACTCTCAACGACAAATTTAAATTTATAATATTAAATTCTGTCATTATTAAATTTTGTTATTATCAAGGGGTCGAAAATGAACACTAATTTTTAAATCATTAAAAAAAAAGATGTCTGTGAATAAAAATTTGAATGAAAGTGAATAAAAATTTAAGTAAGTAATAAAAGCGTAATAATAGATTAGCTTTAACCGAACTGCAAACTCAAACTGACATACTACGAATAATTCAGAGCGCTTACACATGGACCAGTTTTCCAATTGGTCGAAAGTAGAAATTCTTACCTAAACGCTTTCCTTTTATAGCAATCATCAAAAAGTTGTAGCAAATTTATAACTTTTGGAAACAACGCAACTTATCCTTCCTTCTACTTTCGGGGTGACTATTAAAGTCGAAGGAAACTCGTATCACAATACTTCCTGACGAATGTATACATCGTAAAAATGTCTCGAGTGTATAACGCGATCGTCTCAATGGAACGCTAAAACTTCGCATATCGAATTTTTTTCACAAATGCAATTTCACGTTATACAACGACAATTTTCGAAACAACTACACTAACAGAGAGTCACCTGTATCCTCTTAAGTACTCCCCGTTGCCATTAAACCATATAACCCTATCTTGTGTCAAATATGTTCTAATTCCTTACACAAGGCTGCACACACACGCCCAATTACGCTAACGAAAGCCAGCATCTCACAGAGTTTCCCTTTCCCCACTATTTCCTCACATCCTCTCTCCTTTTTACCCTTTCCTTTTCATTCTTTTTATTCTTCTCGTCTATGTCTCACGCACACTCTCTCGCACGAACATACATGTCAGTAGCTAATCATTCTCGTCGTCTTATGAATCTAGAAGTTGAAGCCCAAGACTACCAATTCCTCAATTAATTCCATTTAGTGTTATGGCAAGATTTCGGGCTGAGTTAGCCCGAGCACCACGACGGATATCGCGTGTGCTTGTGGCGAGATGTCTTTAGCATTCATTTTATTCCTGAGATTACGTCAATCCCCCGTTTTACGCGACACTTGCGCCGTAACGACCACCAGACCCGCCTGAAGAGTCAGTGAACTAAGGGTCTGCCGATCCGTGAATTTCAAGCGCCAGACGTTGCCGTCCCTAATGGACGGACGAAGATTCACGTCTCGGGTACAAAGGGACTTCTACGAACCTCCTGTATGTTCTCTTACATGTTACGTGTCCGTTTGTGCGTTCATCAAATTGTGTTACATGATGTGGATCACCAACCGAAGGACTTGGTACAAAATCCTTCAATACAATATAACACACTTTCAACGCTGACTTGTATATGGACACACACACGGCACTGTACAACTTCGTTCGGAGCGAGTAAAAATTATGTTTCACTTTCTTCAATCGCGAAACGCTACGTACGTTGGCAACCATTTCTGACGAGAATCATTAAAACAACAAGGATTGTAAGCTTGAACGCGTTTCTGTGTGTTTAACAGTCTGCAATAAGTAAGTCTTCTAAGAGTAAGAACAGTTTTGAGAAGAGAATTTATATTAACACGACCGCCAAACGTTTACGCCAAAAGGATCGCGCTTTCATCTCGCACAAGTTAATCGAACTCATTGAACACGTGAGCGCGAGAACGTGCTATTTATCCTCAAACGGAAGTAATAATCTCACGAGATTATGAGGGACGAAATTCGCTTCGACAATGACTTAGAAAATCGTGACTCTCGCGTTTTAGGAAGTGTATTCCCGATAATAATCAGAGTTCACAGGCGTCCCTCACCTATACATCTCGATCGATGCTGTCCTCTCGTCACGCCTCATTCGCGAACCACACCCTCCAGCATCAAAGATCTCGAGAGACCGGGATCCCGCACTCTATCACACGGAGATCTCTTGAATTTGCACGCGCTTCTTTGCGCTACCAGGTGTCCCGGGTTGCCGCAGAATTCCAGGGCATGTGAGACCGACGTTTGGTGCCGGAGCCTTGGGCGGGGGCGGTGGTTCCGGCAGGTCCTCGTTATCGTCCTCGCTATCGTGATGAAGACCGCTAATGTTGACTTCATCCATCTGGGCGATAGTGGCGTCTACACAGGGCGACGGCGTGCGGGTCCGTTGAATACACGGACTCTTACTGTAGGATGGCGGTTCCAGGATCCGTTTACCACCGCCGGGTGGCGGTGAGCACTGAAACTCCTGCAATTGCAACTCGAGCTCCTGCACGAGCTTCGCCTTGTGCGGTGGCAGCATCGACGATGGCGAATCTATCATGCTCATGGAAGACGGTAGTCGCTGTTTGCCCGAAGTGTCCATGCCGGAACAACCAGCCTCCAGGAACTCCTCCTTCTTCTTGTTGCTAAAAGTGCCCGACAGACCGCCACTGGTTGTGTTCCGGTCGCGTTGGTGGTATATCCCCGCGAAGATTAGGATGTTGAGCAGCAGCAAGAACACACCCACTGCAATAGTGACTGTAAGAGCCGTGGTATAGCTCTGATAATGACTAGACGCAAGTTTGCGCAGGAGGTTGTTGGGGCCCGGACCTAGATTCGAGATCTGCAATGTTCGCGAAGTGGTAGGTGTGATGGTCGTCGCGACAGTCGCATTCGGGGTGCATTCCGTGGTCGATAGCGCAGTCAGTATCGAGGAGGGTTCCGTGGGTGATGGCATTGGTAACGGAGGTGCTGGTATAGGTACGGCCGTGCTCTGTGGACGCACCGGACCCTCGTAGAGACCAGGATTCTCCGCGAGATGATGGTGCCGCATATTGAGTTCGTAACCCGGCCGGTGCAGTTGCGGCAGCAGATTCAGCCAGAGGGACATCTTGTGGCCTCTGTAGTGCGAACGCATCTCCGGGCTGTGAGCGGCCTCCAAGTACAGTTGATTTATGGAATCGTACGAGTCCCAAAACGGCGGACTCGTCGCCAGGCCGTTTTCCAATCCCGAGGACAAAGGACTCGCGCCATTTGGATCCCTAGAACAACGAGCGAACCGCGATTCTTTGACAAATGGATTGAAACTGCCGCGAGGCTTAATATTCTCTCCCACGCTTTACGTTGCGTTCCTATTTTGTTGAATGTTCAATCTTCAAACAAAAAAAAATCAATATATTTCAAAAAATATCGCACGAAAATAATATCGCACGAATTCAATACAGTTTATTTTGTTATACAATTAATTGTATAGTGATATCGTGGTTTATTAAAAAAATTATAAAGATATAATTTTATTATTTGCAACAAATTATTTGAAACGTTTTTCTAAATTGACGAAAGCTAAAATTGAGGCTTCCGAAGCGAACATCTTACGCTGCTCTGTGCAATATTTTACCACAGTGCGCAGGCAGAATTCCAAAATCCGTCGTGTCGATGACAGAGTAATCATCCAGATAGCCGCCGATCCGCAATTAGAGATGCCAAAATCACTTCGCGTCTTCGCCACTAACAAATCTACTCTACTTCGAGATTGCGAGCTTTCGCTGAGCGTGTTAACGGCCTTTGCGGGAGTTGGCTCCAAAATCCTCTCGCAGCTGTAACTTTACCCTTACTACCATTACCAGCCTTCAGACTCCCCTCTTAGAGAGTAATCGAAGTGTATGCGATGCTTAAGTTCTGAAGAACTTTGAACCGGGTGAATTAACGAGAGAGGTTCACTTATCCGATTAACCCTTTCATGCCCATACGCCAGTTATTTCACGTCGTAGTGTCGCCGATTAATGTTAATCGCATATTTCAACCAACAGAGTGTTTAACAGTAATTAAACAGTACGGTAACTTTTTGCGATATTCTCAAAAATGTTCATCAATTAAGTTCATCGATTAAGATAGAAAAAAATCTACAGTGTACTTCCATCTAATTTCGTTTTCTTTTCTTTTCTTTTTACTTATGTTTTTTTTTTCTTTCGCTTTATTTTATTTTATTTCATGTCTTATACTACTGTATTCTATATACACTTTTCTTATGTTCTCCATTATTCTCTATTTTTCAAATTTTTCCTTCATGCCATTCTTTATTGCTGTTCTTAAAAAACTTGCACTGGAATGATATACGATCAACACGATACTACAAATGCTTTAAAGCGTTTTTTAATTGGTCAATTTGAAAAGTTCCTTCTTCTAATTGATCAATCAAACGTTTCAAAGCATTTGTAGTAAGACTTCGACCGCAGCTATAATAAACTTCTACCTACCTATTTATTTACTTATCTATCTATTAATATTTTGATTTTCATTTTAAACTGCCCTGTCTTTAATGGACGCGGTCGGACATTAATTTCATCACTAGACGCGAAGAATGAAAGAGAAGCGGAAAGGACTTACCCACGCCTCACGAAGTTAGCCAGGTAGTGTACAAGTAGTTTCGACAGATTCTCGTCGGCTGGGGTGTAGTTGCCAAAGGTGGGCACCACGGACGTGACTTCGCCGCGAAGAAAAGGTATACCCAGGAGATATGGTATCTCCTCGCCCCTTTGGCTCGGCAGTTCACCCGGCTGGAAATGCAGGAAATAGCCACGTCCCTCCGAAGTCGAATGCAGTAAGGCCAGTCTGAGGAGTGGCGCGGCGACTTGGCCGTCTCCGAGGAGAGATAAGAGACCTTCGCAGATCGCCACGGGACTCTGTTCGCCTCGCTCCCAGTCGGTATACTCGTTCCGAAGAGTCGAATAGATTTCATGCAAATGGTACCGGTAGGTGTTCCGGACGTAAGTGCGCAATATACGGTCCCTCCTCGTCTCATTCAAGCCGTTCTGCGAACCGGTAAGAATTTCACCCGTTTTTTGCGACGCAGAAGAAGTGAATACTTGCACACGTGAATATTATGCTTCTTTGCGTCACGAATTTATCGCAATTTTTGTAAAATAATCTTTATTATCTTCGATACCAACTTTGTGCTATCAATCATTCATGGAAAATCGCCGCGAGATCTTACAAATAATCGAATGATATTTCCGCTGATATATCTGTGTACGGATTATTAATTTGATCACGATCAGTAAAACATGAGTATGCTATTATAGTGCGATATCCAGTGGCCGTGACCATCGGAGAGTCAATAATATCCGGAACGATTGGCGAACACAGACTTGCGATGCAATCATGTGCAGCTCGTCAATTTGTCAAACTGTATCCAATCGATGTCAATTACATATTATGCGTGAAGTGTCCGGTCATTAATCAAACAATTACTTCCGCTCTAATATAAATTTCTTGATAAAATCGATATAAAAATAAAAGTATGATCAATAATAGCAACGGAGAAAAACAGATTAAAAAGTACGAAGCTTTTTATTCTACTAACGAAGATATCATGAAAACATGGAAACTGTAATCTGGAAATCGAGGAGTTTGCAAGAAAAACCAGAGATCCAAACAAAAAGGATACTACTGTGTAATTAATGTATTTTGTATTTTCCTTCACGTGGTTTTTTTTTTTCCCGAATGAGCGTAACGATTGCGAATCCCACTTACCTGTAAATCTTCCTCGGTGAGATTCACCCAAGCTTCATCGGATGTCAAACCAAAAAGTAAATCACGGTTGCCGAAGTCCGCGAATTCAGCGCCGGGCCCGGGCACGATCGGCATTAGTCCCGAAGAAGAGGCAGTAGGCTGGAAATTCTGAACAAAGAAATCTTCTTTTTCATGCTTAGTATAGTAACGCATGTTTAGTATATCAATGAGGTTCATTTTGATTCTCAATCTTCTCTATTCACTCTCGCTTTCCCCATATCATTGTTAAATAAATCTCTACTCCACTTAGGTACATCCCTCTATCACGTACAGCTAGTAATTTCTATTTAACGTCATATAAATTAACTTAGTCGCCGTACATTTTAAAGCGGAAACGACAAGGAGAGACTTGACTGCTTTGTAATAAATCGTGGTTGCGATGTTACCTACATGCACGTTCATCTCTCCCGATTTCGCATTTAATGTCGCGATATCGCGATGAGCTCGAGCAACCAGACACTATCAACGAATGAGTTAATGGAGCATGCACGAAGTAGCTATTACGGTTCTCGGATCCGTCATCCGTCAGCCGGTCGCTCTTTCAATTAACAGATTCATCGTTTACCTTGTCGTCTCATTCGCTCTTGCGCAAAATCAATACATCGGTCGGTCGCCGATTGGACTAATATCCGCATACAATTACAACATTCGCGAATTCTGTAATCACTTGGATGAAACGCCGATCATGACCCATGTTTATTTAACACCCGTTGTTATATTTACTTACATCGCGATGGATATTCCATGCGTAACCAGCATTTAAACGGCGGATGCGGAAACAATACGTGTATATATTTTGCGAAAAAGATAGAGGATGTAAATGCAAATTTTATGAAAAATAGCTTAACGTCAAAAGCGACGCTGAGTCGAAAGACTCAGCCGGACATCTCGAAAACGTTCAGATAACATATTAGTGTGTCATTTACAAAAACCGCTAAAAAGTACCGATATATATTCATAGTAATTTTCGCCAACTTTATTCTCGGCTTAAAATGGATCTCTTCGTCTCTGTTTCTCTCTCTCTCTCTCTCTCTCTCTCTTTGGATAGATGGGAGTATATTTAGACGTATTAAGAATATTTTCTCTATTATTATATGCATCTAATATGTTTTCTTAGTAACAATGTAATGTTTATCTTATGTAATGATGTTTTATACTTAAAGTGGTATCTACAATTTTAAAGCAGATTTTAAAGCATAAAACTTAAATATCTTAAACTTTAAAAAATTGACCAATCACATGTTGAATGTGAAAAGGATAATCGACTATGATTGATCAATTTTTTAAAATAAGAAAAATATTTGATTGAATTAACTGAAATTCTGGAATAATTCAGAATTCTGGTTAAGTCTATAAGATTTCTGACTAAATCAACTAGAATTCTAGTAGATTTAACCCAGAAAATTATGAATGTTGGTTATTTCAATTAGAATTCTAGTAAATCTAACCAGAAATTCTGGATTATTCATTTTCCATCAGAATGCCAATTCATTCAATCAAACATTTTCTCTGTGTAAGACTTAAAGCTTAAGTTTTACGCCTTAAACTGTCAATGTAAATGCCGCTTTGGAGAACGTAAGTCTCTCTACTAAATAACGATTTTCTCTTCTCTCTCTCTCTCTCTCTCTTTCTCTCCTTAAATTCTAAATTGAGAAACGGACAAACAGGATTGATTAAACTGCAATTAAGATTAATTAATGGCGTATTACGGTTAACAGCGTAGTAAAACCGAAGCAATCAGGCAGAGCAGATCGTAAAGCAAGTGGAAACGGCGCGCGTTACTGTTCTCCAGTCTCGAGATTATCGATTATCGGATCGAATCGTCTCACCTGATTGACTGTCGGTGGCAGAACAGTCCCATCGACGAAAGGTGCAAATCCGGAAGGACGCTCTTTAAACGAAGGCACGGTGCGATATCGTCGGCCTCAACGTCACCGGGACATTTGATCTTCTCGGCGACGCGACGCTTCACCATCAGCGGATCTCGCTGCACCGCCCATGGCGAGAGGGCCGAACCACCGAGCAGAATCACCCTCCCGATCAGCTCTAAAATATTCGTTGAAAACTCTCGCTAATTGCAATATAGTTAATAAAATGCGAGGAATGTTCGATAAATCTTTAATTATTATACAGACAGTAATATATACATCGATGTTTTATTATTTGAAAATCCAATATTTCGCAAACAGGAAATCAGTCTCTTATTATTTTATGTACATAAAAGCTTATCTCATTTAAATGTTATTTAAGCCCTTCCTTTTTATTGGAGAATAGAACTTAGACACGATTATACTTGTGAGATCGATAAATCAGTTTCAATTAGCATGTCTCTCTCTCTATAGACAGTTATATCGACATCAATCAGAGTTAAACGTGATTAAATCAATTTCCTTTGCAAGCAACTATAATTTACAACAGAACTGCAGTTCAATTAATATACTCAATTTCATTTATCATATGAATAAGCGGAAAGAAAGTTTGCAATTGTTTCTTAGAAGCGCGACATAAAATAAATAATAAATACAAATTATTAAAAACGTATCTCTCTGAACCGATAAATAAATAAAACGTTCCGTGTGGACGTTGTAAAAAAAAAAATTAAAGTAAACAAATTCATAGCGTACGCTAGCAGCTCGCTTTTCCATACAAAATGGATATACCGCGTCAGCGGTAAATACAACCGACAGCACGTTAACCAACCCGAGTTGACTGACAACTGCAGTGTGCGCAACCGATCGGCCACATAAGCCGCGAAACAATTAAACTCCTTACCTTTTGCCATAGGAGAGACGGCTAAAAAATTGGCGAGGGCCGCCCCGGTGCCGTGGCCCAACAACGCCAGTCGCCCAGGATCGCCACCGAAAGCTCCGAGATTCTCGCGCAGCCAATGAAGCCCCGCCACCAGATCCATCAATCCATAATTGCCCTGTGCGCTCCCTTTCGAGCCGGTCTTCAAGAAGCCTGCAGTTTCAACGTGCTCAAATTAGGAAATCGGCTCATCTACGCCCGATCGAACGGAGCGACGAGGATGTTCAAATATTCGACGCCGCTAATTCCTGAGAGTTTCCACGAAGATACAAGCAGAATATCTCGCGAAACATCGTAACGCGTAACATCGTACTCTTGTTATTCCGGAGAACGAAAAGTGGAAAAGTCGCCGAGAAAGAGAGAACTTGGTTGGAAGATCCATTCAGACATTTCCAGTTGCCTCCTCCCTGTTTTCGAGGAGGTTTCTTCCTACACTTCCCATCGTCCTTTTTACGCGCGAATCTCGGCGATCAAAAAACTCTGTTATGTCAATCACAAACTTTCGCTAAACTCGGGTACGCTCACTTTTAGTGTATGCTTTAACAGGAAAGGATTGTCTAAGTTAATTATTGCTAAATTAGTTATCGTTGCGGAGACGAAAGTCGGGATGTACTCACACACGTGCGTATATACAGGCGTACAGCTATTGTAACGGCGAGCTATACTCGGAGAATAAACCGGATTAAAATTAAATATTTGCTCGTCGGTACTCAATCCCGCTCGCTTCAATTTGCTACCGACTCACCTACGGGCATGTCACTTTGCTTCGCTATCTGCCTGCAAGATGAGTTTTCCATTTCAATCCGATTCACCTTTTAATTACATTCACATATCTACCCACTGTATTGGTACCAAGTTTTAATTACGCTAGTATTTAGCGTCAGAAAAATATCACAGAGTAATGACTCGAATAATACAGAATAAATGTTTTCGCTGCTACTCATCAGAAAAAAGATTTTTTTTTTTTTTGCATAAAATACACAAATGTTTTTAATTATTATATATTTATTCATTTTTACTTTCGTCCGTTGAGTTTTTTTATTTGCTCTACAGAGAGTGCAGCAATTTGCGAAACGTTGCACTATATATGTGATAGAAGATATATTTAATATTATTTAACGCGATGGTACGATCGGAAATTTATTTATGTCATGAGTGGCGTGAAACCCGTAAATGGTGCGAAACAGTGAAAAAGCACGAGTAATAAGTGGAATAACAAGAAAAAAGACGGAAGAAAATGGAATCGGTTGGCCATGCGGTATTGGATAACGCCGCAGGCATTGTTTCGCTTCAACGATGAACAAAACGCATACGGAACTGCAGGCTACCGACAAAGAGAAGCGCGAAACCAGCCCCGGTATGGTGAAAATACAGCGTATCGATATCGAAAATTGTTCCACTGCCTGCCCCTGGGCTTCTTTCATGAATGGGGGATACGGTGTTGTAAACACGCTTGCATACCTTCCGAATAATACGTTGTTTATCGCTTTATCCGCGATTAGGTGTATTCGTACCTCTAAATATCGCAGTTGCAAATAGCACCAGAAAATAAATACAGATTACAACATTGTGGGTGGTACATTCCCACGATAATAAAGTGTGGTACGAAAATCGTGGATACGCGCATACGGAGGCATAATACATTTTTAATTAACGCAAAATTGCAGAGATTACCTAGCATCGCGAAGAGAGACTCGCTCGGATGCCCAGATAAAATCCATTTTACGAATTAACTAAATAAAAAATGAGTTTTTATCCGGGAACAACGTAAATTCACCGGCGAGACGGGATCCGTTCCGATTCCTCACGCTGAACGAATATCGATTACACCTCACAGCCATTCTTGCTGTGCTCCAGTTTAAATTGCGCGCATAATATTTAGTAGATGCTGAAAAGCCGGTCTCGCACGTATAACAAACGAGCGCAAAAATCCATTCGCATGAAAATACCTTCAGCCTTACGTGTCCCCTTCTTCGTCCTCATTAAACTCCCTTTGTTTCTTCCCCCTTTAATTCCGCGCATTTTTAATTTTGGCACACGTACATGTAATCCCCTGTCTCTCTTTCTCTTTCTCTCGCGTGAACGAAAACGCATTCTGCGTCTTACAACTCCTATGTTTCCTATATTCAAGTTGGCGTTGTGTTTTTAAAGAGTTACAACTATCACAGAAATAACAACCTCCAGAGAGAAGAATTTCCATATATAACTACGAGGAAAGTAATCTGGTAAGATCTCGACAAACTTTTCCTAGCTGCCACGAATAATGAGATCATTCCTTTAACTCTGTCGAAAGAACAAAAGAGCTAGTCGCGCTGTGTAATAAACAAAGCGTGGCAAACTCGGCACACTTTATAACGCGAAAACTTTCTATCAGTTCTTGCGCACAAAATAGTAATGCAAATGCCTGATTATCATATTGTCCTTGTTATGCTCAAAATAATAATTTCTTGGCAGAGGACGCGCATGTTTATTGGGTATTGATCAATGTGTCAAATTGTCAATTACCAATAAACGCTCATTACCTGAAAAAATAATTGTTACGATTTTACGATTCTTTATAACGAAACACGTCAGTTTAAAATTATGTTATTCTAATGTTAAATATTATTATCGACGCAAGAATAAATAATTACGAATGAGAATAGGAGGATAGGAGAAAATTTCTTTAGTCTTTTTTCATTTTGAGACAAAAAAAACGAGTAATATTTCTTTAAAAGGTGTCCTGCTTCATCTTCCCGCAAACAATTACGACATACGTGAATGAAGTAGTAAAAAATAAAATTTATAAAATAATTGCAAACGTTCGCAAGGCGTGTCCCACTTTCCGATACGACGCGGGCGTGGCAAAAAGGAACGATCTGTTTCAATGAACAAGTATTGCAGAGCTTACCAAGCACACCAAGACGAAAATTGATAGAGACGACAATAAGGCGTCCGTGAGCAGCCAGGGCGGTTCCGTCAAATGAATTTCCGGCGCCCCACGAATATGAATCGCCATGAATAAGGAGGAGGGCCGGTAGCGAGTCCGCGATACTACCTGCAACATTAGAGAACATTCTACCACATCTCTTTGCAAACATAAAGTACATATATATATGTGTGTGTGTGTGTGTGTGTGTGTGTGTGTGTGTGTGTGTGTGTGTGTGTGTGTGTGTGTGATAGAAATATAGACAAATATATATATAGATAAGAATATATGTGCGTGCGTGCGTGTGTGTGTGTGTGTGTGTGTGTGTGTGTGTGTGTGTGTGTAATAGAAATACAGCAAATATATGAAGATAAGAATACTCATATTACATCATCAAAATGTATTATTGTATCGTGTAAATTACACAGTAATTATATAAAGCAAAGGCGTTGATTGAACGATGTTTGTAATCTCCTTAATTATTCTCGGTAAATAAATATATTTTATTTTACTCAAATTACAATTCTTTTTAGAAAACTGCAATCGTCTCCGATCTTAATACATTCTCTTATCAATATGAGATCTACAGGTGTGTATACGCAACTAATCCTATTGTAATATAATGAATATAAACACAGTAAAACACCTTCTACAAATTAGGCCAGATAAAAGTGTCGAAATAACTGGCTAAAAAGCGGCTTTAAATTTCCATAAAATCTCGTGACTAAAATTACATAAACTTATATGAGCTAATAGCACGTGATTTATAAAATACGCGTTATGAATCCATGATAACATTACATAATTCTGAACTTCATTGACTAAACATCGCATTTAATGTTTCACAAAAAATTATACACATGTATTTAGCAATTAAATACAGACAGTGTTTACAAAAAGAATATCAATGCAAATATTATCCATTATTGATCATTAAAATATAAATGTGTACTTTTAATCTTTGCTCCATGAACGCTCCAAACTTCAAGCACATAAATATGGAATATTTACATTCATATTTGTAATAATTATGACATTTATAATAAATCTTAATAATTAATTAAAATATTTTTAATTATATTTTAATACATACCTATATTACGTATATTTTTAATTAATAAACGATTAAATATTTAACTTACGATTTTTAATATTTCACATATAAAAGAATATTAATTTTTTTATATGTTAAAATCGGCAAGTCCGATTTTGAACGATCCAAATATTGTAATTATGAAGCGTTTACTTGAGTGAAAGATCTCGATTTATACGTAAATCTTGAAGGGAGACTTTCCATAAAATTTGCATTTTACTCCCTCTTAGCAGGGTAATGCAGCTGTCTCTATCAATCGCGACGTCAAATTCCATGTAATGCGCAACGGCGATCGAAATATAATCATCCCTGGAACGAACTATCATGCCGAGCTAAGTGATGGCAAGGACACCTGTTGCGATCCTGATAGCGCACTAGACGACAGATAGTTAAGTAGATGAACAAGTAGGCGAACGAGACATCTTCCGTAATTTCACTGTGCGTATTTTTCCATTGGGAGCTGTGAAAACTTATTCCTATCCAGCCGCCTGTTTGCGATCGTATCTCAAAACGTTTACGAGCGACTCGCTACTTTTATTGCTTTCTCAGTATCGACTCATCTTTGTCGGAAATTTATAAATTATAGATTTTTTTTTATGAATGAAAAATACTAAAAAAGATATTTACCGATTTAATTATTTACTAGACTATTTTGGGTCTTCTATTGCTACTCTCTTAATATATAATATTTAGGAATAACTAGGAAAATAGAAATAATTCCATTCTATTTCGAGTCGTGCCACAATTACGTATTAATTAATTAATTTTAGTAATATAATTCTCAATTAAAATTCTATAATCTAATTTTCTATAGATTTCTCACAATTAGATTAATTTAAGAATAATTTTCCACTTGCTATTCAAGAAGATTATTTCCTATAGCTAAATATTTCGCTAAACTTGTTCATATAGTTCAAGTATTTTACATACTTGTTTATATATTGATAAAATTTTATTTTAAGAAAAATATTTGCTTTTCATTTTTTATATTTTTCTTAGATTGTAGCAGGAGTATAATCTTTTATCACAAGTGATGGGTGAAATTCTGGCTCCGCACGTACATACGAAATATATGTATAGCGCCTGAGCTTCTACATATTACGTTCCAACTCAGCGTGTAACACGATTATATAACATGTTGGGAAAAGGAGAAAGGGTGGATACTGGGGACCAATAAATTCATAAGCAAGTTAGCAGAGATTCGGAAATGAGGAAGCTTTTTGAACGACCCGACATATATCAGGTACTAAAGTTCGCTCTTAATGCGAAAAGGTCGTTATCTCAAAGTCTTAACGAGAGATCACGAAGTCGTTATCGTGAACTAACAGAAATTTTGAAGCATTCCAACGTGATATACTCTTTAACAAAAAAAAGTTACGCACAGACCTAACGTCGGGAGTTTTCTCGTTAACAATAATAGATACAGCCTCGACACGTAGAACCCTTCTCATCGAGAGAAATCGAAATAGTTCTGTGACATTTTGCCGTATCTATTACTGTTTCCGAGACAATAGCCTTTTCTTTATCTAGACATGTGCATAACTTTTTTGTCAAAGAGTATACATATATGTATATCTTCTTCAATCCAGTTCTATGCACGTATTACATACGTCGTATGAAATGAAACAAATATATTCTCGATTTTATTTTAATTAATTTTCTTAATTATAATTTTATAGAAAATCTATAAAAATTGTAAAAATCTTGAGAATCGGATTTACTTAAATAAATAGTTTCCTATAGTCTTTCTTTTAGACAGTTTAAATTGCGCATGGTTAAAAACCTTCCTAAAGTTAGACAGTTAATTAAAGTTTCCATCAGTTCCTCCAGATTACGTTCATTGTACAACCATTACAGATAACGATCGATCTTTGACCACGGTCTTAAGTGCGAACAGATTAAAGAATCGATCCTAACGTGCATATATGTCGGTGCTTGTCGAAGTCCTCTTCATTATCGTGTCCTCTCTCTAGATTAATGTCTCAACGGCCAGACAAGAAGAACGTCGATCCGATACGAAGCTACCTCACTCCCGCGGTGCTTGCAGGTTCTCTCACGTGAATCAAATAATCGACTGCAATGCACTACGGAATTGAGGATGCAACGCATCCTTACACTTGCATTCCTTTACAGTAGTCTGTCTTTCTCTCTCTCTCTCTCTCTCTCTCTCTCTCCCCCCCCCCCCCCCTCTCTCTCTTTCTCTCTGTCTTCCGTTCTACTCGAGGAACTCCTTTCGCTTTATCTTGCTCCTTCCAATACCTCGGATCTCTTCGGTCCGCTTCATTTCTTCTCGTATGCAGCATCGGCCTCGCCATTGTGCTGCCGAGGCACCCTGGTTTCTCATCATTTTCCAGATAAAAGTGCGCTTTATTCTTTCATTCTTCTTCACAGCGACGAATTCCTCACGCGAGACACGCCAATACGCACAAAGCCGAGAGATGCTCGCTGCTCGATCGGGGAAACGACAGCCGGATGAATTCGCGAGCGAACGCCCCCGCTCGTCCCTGTGTCCCGAATATTATTTTCACGTGATCTTCACATTCACCGACACTCGGAGCGTTTCTCTATGTCTGTGTCGAAGTACATTGCCGTAGAGTATTGTATTAAATCTACCTATATCAAATTTTTCCACGAGTTATCGCGTCACAAAGAATAACGTTCGCTTGCAAGCGTGAATGAAAGATGATCGATATATGCAAAGCGTAGTTAAATTTAACAATATAAAGAAGAAAATATCGCACATTCATAAGAATTCAACATTCAAGAATATTTTACAGTAAAAATCACATAAAAAGAAAAATTATTAAATGATAAAGAGAAAAGCATTCGCTGCTTGTTTTTATTTTATTACGGTGTGAATATAACAAAGCATACCGTTGATTATCTTGAAATATAAAGAATCTGTATGAACTTACGTACATATTTAGCGAATGCAGTAATTTTATTTTCCATACCGTAATATTAGGTATTATATTAAATGACAGTATCGTACATTAAATTATAAGTAAAACTTATAATCATATAAATTTAAATTAGTCGCAGATTATAGGTTTTCCATTCGTGACATATTCATGGACAACAGATAATATCTTTTTTACATCATAATTATATTAAATAAAATTCTTATATTTGATATATAAAATCTATTTAGACAAAATTATTTAAATTAATCACATATTATTTTTTGTTCGTGACATATTCATGGACAATATCTTATTGTTAGATCATAATTAAACAAAATTCTCGTTATTAAATAAATAAAATTTATAATCACGCGTTTAAATTAATCGTAGATTATAATTATTTTCAGTTTGCTGTATATGAATGATATCATAAGCATTCTCAGAATGAAGCATCGTCCAGAGATGCGAGTCGTCATCGTCGCCGTTGCGTAATAATAGGTGTAGGATATAACCATAAAAATAATTTCGCGACGATGATCCAAGAGCCTTCAATCTGTCGAATAAACGCAATATCGCTAAAATAAGCACAAATTCTACTTGATATACGATATATTCCTTCTTGCGCAATGTCCGTATTACTCGTAACTTCGTATGATTCCATATTTTATCCAACGTGAAGCTTCTATTCTGTTTATGGATTATACTTTTATTGTAATATCGCATCGGAAAAGAATTTTTAATATAAATGTGAGGTCAAAATTGAAATCTTCAAACTAGAGAATCATCGATTTCCTCAATTATTTCTGCACGAATTCGTGCAGAATTAAAGTAACGTTGTAAACTCCTAATCGTAAGCACCACATTGTGCGATCGAGATTGAGAAACGTTTTTTTCCCATTCCTTCTCTCTCGCATTTAAATTCCGCATATTACAGTCGCGTTTCAATAACGCGAGTGCGCCACGAGCGAAGGAGTTCAAACTCTCGTCTGAATTTTCCGCGACGATATCCAGAGATGAAAGATCGAAAACTAAGCTGCTTACGCACGAGTAGTGATGATAGTGGTGATGATGGTGCTGTTACTGCACACCCCCATGCGTTGTCAGTGAAGAGACAAGCAAGAGAAAAAGTAGGGCTCTGTAAAAAGTAGCAAGAGGATTCAACGTGATAGCAAAGGAAGCAACGGCTCGTTCTCTTTAATCCGGCTGAAACGTCGGGTAGTTACGGCTTTTTATTCGACAGTATAATAGCGGCCTTTCTGTAAGAGGTCCCATAGAACAAAAAAAAAAAAAAGAAAACGGAAAAAATCGCATGTGGATCGCGCACCATCGCGAGATTCACAACGTCTCTCATACGTGCTCTATCTCCGACTGATCGCATCTTATGAAAATCATGGAGCTTTCACGCTTTTAATTAATCCCGTACATCCGCATTATCTCGGGCGAAAAAAATTTATTTTTCACAAAGATTTATATCCCTCTTATTAATGTATGGCGTACAAATTCTTTCTTACGAGAAAGAAATTTCCTTTGGTATACACGATATCTTCGTGCTCTCTTATCGAAAATTGGAATAGACATATTTATCTTAAAGCGCAGCAAAGCCAAACTGTTCAAGAGAACCGAACTAGGTCAGACCTTTATACACACAATCGGGAATATTACAGAATTCAACAAATCCGGCCGAATCCCTATCTGAAAATTTATCACGGGATGCAGTCTGTTGATCTCCATATCTGTGATCCGTATATTGGTTCGCGTTTACACTTCATCTGAAAGTCTCTCGCTGTATTCGCAATCAGAAAAGCATCTTCGCGAGCGATCGATCCGCTCTTTTGTTACAGACACCCATTCCCGCTCTATCCCCAACCCCCACGCTAAAAGCTGCGAGGAAGTGATGGTAGGGGAAAGGGGTAAAAAGGGTGGGAGGGTGGAGGAGTAGAAGAGTTTTCTTGCGAAGGAGACCAGCATCGCGACAGCCACGCGAAATCGCGACCACTATAAAGTCGTATCGAGCTCTCAGCTCTCGGCTATGTGGAGTGTGATATTTTTTTTTTCTCTACCGCCTCCTCCCTACCGCCTTTCACCCCCTTGATTGTACTCTACGTTGAAATTAGTTCTAACCAAAGGTATAAAGCATGGACCAAGCCATATCTAAATAGAATATCTGACGTGGTTAATAAAAATGAAAGAGAGGAGAAGCGTGAAAATAGCCAATCTCTCTCTTTCTAACAACATTACACCGTGAATAGAAAGAGACTAGTTATCTTCGCGTTTTATTTCTTTCATTTTTGTCGACAGTTGTACACACGATTACGTAATTCGTGCTCTATGTTTTTGACTCTAACAATCTGGCAGAAATCATGGTCGGTGAAATTATTGCTCACAATCGCTATAATCTTCTTGCGCTCTCTTTGCATTTTATATTTCAGTATTTCTGTACTAGAATAATCGGAAAGAATGGGATGAGAAAGAGGGATGAAAGATATACGCTAATCAGTGATATCGCGTAATATCGCGCATGGATCATTCATGAGATAATCTTGTACTGTTAGATAAATTTAAAGGTCTCCCTCTCTCAATTCTCTGCATTTTTCACGAGCAAGAAGCTTAAGCAAGCAATTAAGGTCAACACGTCTCTCTCAGCGCAGAAAAGTTCATCCAAATTCCAAATGTGAGTGATAGCACTTACTAAGGTTCTTTGTGATACAATACGAGGAAAAGATAATAATTTCTAGATGAATAATTCTACTTTCATGAGAGCTCATTACACCCCGTTGTCTAGACCTTCTGCCGAATTACCACGTCTTTCCACCGAAAGAGGAAGATCGGATCGCACTGTAAATAGAACGCTCGTCGGAATCGGCTAAATGTAATTTCAACGGAAGTGGAACATCATTTGCGAAACTCTGTGAATATCTAACAGGCTCGTGCTCGTGCGTCCGGTGAAGAAAAAAAAGTTGGCGACCCGGCGTGCATATCTACATATGTATCTACTTGTCGCGCAGAATTATACGCGCGCGATGTCATTGTCACGTGTCGTAACGCACCGATGCTGCATTCCCGAATGCTCCGATAATCAGATTATCACAAAATGAAATTGCGCCTCTCTCTTCTCCCCCCCTCCCCTCCCTTCCCTCCCCCCTTGGTGGTTGGCGACGCGCTTTCGACCAAGTTGAGCAATTTACCTAAAATTGGACGGTGTTTCGAAACAGAGTCTCGTGAAAATATCACCAAACTTTTACGTCGTAAGATACATTCCGAAAAGTTCAGCTTATGTTTCCGTGGCGAATTTTGTATTCGACAATGGACCGTATGGTGCAGGATTTTCCAAACAGTGCATCGCAAGAGCTTTACGTATTTTCACATATTTTTCACGAGAATTTTGTTTAGGATTTAGAATACCAGTGTTTCTATCTCAAACAAACAGAAGGATACAAGTCCTATGAAACGTAGATATCTGAAATATTGTTACAAGCTTTTTTAACATTATTTTCTACTTAAAAAAAGAAAATGTACTGCAATATTGACGAAAACATTTTCACAATCGTTTCTTTAATCTTCAATTTATAGAATTTTTTAATCATAAAATTGTTGATAATTGTTTCATATCTTTTAAAAAAACTATAAAAAGAATTTATTTTTTAGAAAGCACAAAGAATATTCGAGGGTAACAATATTATTTTATACATCATATTATTATTTTATCCAATTATTACTCCTATAATGTATATGTATAAAAAATAATTACAATTTAAAATAGACCGATGAGAATGAATTTAATTGAATAAGGAAAATCCAATTTTTCAATCAAAATAAATTTTAGTGCTTAAATATTTCTATTTGCATTTATATCAGACATATATTGTATATAAATTCATACAGAATATTTAAAAAAAGTAATAATAATATATAAAAAGTATCGTAAATATATACATGTATTAATATAAATAAAAATCACATTTATAGTAAAATTAATTTATCGCCAAAAAAGTAGAATCCTTTGTAAAACAGTCATTACCAGCAAAGTGCTTTAACATATTGACGTTCAGCAGAGAAAGCAGTTTTGCTGTTGTAAAATTCTCCAATATGATTGGTTTATACATTTAAAGCCACAAAGAATCGAAAGAAAAATTCAATCGTATCGAAGAATTTTGTAACAGTTGTAAAGCTACTTTCTCTGTTGAATGCAACCATTCTTTATTCTACCAAGCAACATTTTTCCTACTCAGTAAACAAAAAACATTTTGAAACATTCTAGCAACATTGCAACAACATTGTAACGTTGCTACAACTGGAATGTTTCAAGATGGTTTTTGCTTATTAGGCAGTACCATTCTTTAGGACCATTCTTTAGGATAACGTCCGACTTACCGTGAGGAGCTTTGGGCACATAGAGGTTCAAATACAAGCAGTCTTCGCTCTGATTGGCCAGTACTGGCACCAGCCTTTTGAGGTAGGCCTGTCTCTGCCGCGGCAAGCTCTCGTCCAATACCGGTGGCCGCTGCGGGCAAGCCGGCTGCATGGTATCGGCGAACTTGATGCCGCGCCAGGGTGTCGGGGTAACCGGCGGCATGTAACGCAGTGCTCCGAGGGGCGGCGTCGCGTACGGCACGCCGTAATAAGTCTCGACGGCCGTCGACGATCTAGCCTCGATACCGCGCAGGATACCGTATCGCGTTTTAATTGTCCTAGTACAGTACTTTTGAGTGCCGGCCAGAGCTTCGGTACCTGCCAGGCAGCAATGGGCACAGAGAAGCGCCAGCAGGAAGACGCTTTTGGCGATACCGCCATCAGATGGGACTCTTCGAAGAATCCCCTTACTCGCGATATCCTTCGCACTTCGTCGTCGTCTTTCTTGTTTATTTTCTTCGTCGTCACTTCCCTTGTCGCATTTGCCTCCTTTCCGCTTTCTTCGTCCACAGCATCGTTCACCGGAAATCCCGTTTGTTTGGCGATTCCCCAGCTTCCCAGGAATCTCATGATACGTCGAGCAAACATCCTGTTCCCGGTGAAGAATATCGTACCGCGTTCGATACGATACGATAATATCGAGCTGCGGAAGACAGTGCTGTCGAAAAACATGTTTAACTGATGATCGCCAGTCGCCAGTGAAAAGGACGGTGTCGGGAGGCGAGAGGTCTTTCCTCTTCCTCTTCCTCGGCAAAGAGGAGGAGGACGTCCGCAT